AATGGGGGAGCAGGCGAGGGGGGAGGGGGGAAAGGGGGAGGAGGGGAGGGGGGAGGGGGGAAAGGGGGAGGAGGGGAGGGTGGAGAGGGGGATGGAGGCCTTGGGGAAGGAGGAAATGGCGCATAGGGGAAAGGTGGTGATGGTGCAGGTTGATACGGAGGATTTGGATTTGGGGAGGGGGGATCTGGGGATAGGGGTGGGGAGGGCGGAGATGGGGGCAGTAGAGGTCGTGGAGGTGGTGATGGAGGCGGAGGTCGTGGTGGAAGTGTTGGTGCCCACGCCCATGCGCCAGCCCATTTTCCGGGAAAGCTTGGTGGTTTCCCCGGTTGTGGAGGAGCCCAAGGTCTCAACGGCGAATGTTTTGGCAGGGGTGGAAAGTAAGGGGGTCGTGTTGGGGTCGTGTAATTCCCCGGTGGAATTGGGTTAAAGGGAGGAGCATCTGGGGCTTCTGGTGGTTTCGGAGCCGCCGGCGGCATTGGCGGCCTGGGGCCCATCGCCCTGGGCATGTACGGCGGTGACTTCTCGCACAGCTCGTCCCGCTCGTATCTCAGCCCGTAGTAATCCCATGGTCCTGTTGTTCCCGAGGGGCCCGTGATGGTGTAGTTGCGCGCTGCGAACTGGTCGCTGAAGGTGTCCCAGCAGCACTTGCTGTCTGGCGCAATCACGGTGGTGTAACCAGCTGCACGCACATTCAGGCAGGCAGGAGAAGAATAGAACCGTGGCAAGGCCTTCAAGACGAGGAACACTGATTTAATAAAAAGCAGCATCAAGGCTTTACGGTTAATAGGTAAAAAACAGGAACATTCGTAGAGCAGCAGCCTGAAATTCTTTCTTTTCGGGCTGCTTCTTTACCGCTGTAATAAGTAAAGCAAAAAATGATCAGCAGCAGGCGCATGGCTACCTCCAATAATGAAACTATCCGATTGATCGGATAAAACGAGTGTGGAACTGAGGCTTGAAACAGGAATAACAAATAACAAGATGTACCACCATGTAACAACAACAACAAGATCCTGATTGCAGTGGACTCCGTAATAACTCACCTTCACCGGTACTCTTATCGAACCATTGCCAGCCAATGCCATCCATATCGAAGATCGTGATGTTCTTCACTAAAGCTTTGTTATTCTTGTCGATAGACCCATAATAGCGCCTCCGAAGGCCCCACACCGCACCGTACGGAGTTTTTAAAACGTAGGACTGGATTTGGTATGAAACAATCCTGCCAAACATGAAGATAGGACGGTATACGTACATGTACTACATTGATGAAGAGACCGCATGCATGAATAAATGTGTGTGTTGCACCTAGCGAGGTTGCGTTACCCAGAGAAGTGTAACGGGCTCACAATATACTAGCCAGAAGCCCAAGAGCCTAGGATACACGAAGCAATTGTTGTAGCTGGCCGCGGAAAAGGCTTCCCGAGATGCTGGTGAAGCGCTTCACCAGCCTCTCGGAAGGCGGCCAGGTACTACAGTTGGTATCGAGTTGGCCTCGTACATGTTTACGATCCTGATGTTGTCAGTTCGCCCCGACGAACCGCAAGAAGTGGACAACGAGTTAGACGACTGTCACTTGCACGATAATCGTGGCAAAAAGTAGTTATGGTTGACCGGGGAGTCTCTGTGCCTGAAAAACCTTACGTCGGCTAGGTGCATGCTTGTGTGGGCGGCACATGACAGCCCGAGGGTAGGTGATGGTAGGCGCTCGTATGTGGCCCTTGTGTAAGGGCCCGAGACGGATCCCTTCAAAGGGGGAAGAATGTAGTAGCTGATACACAGCGCGGCACACGTATCGACTGCGAAGCGCTTCATCAGCCTCTCGGGAGGCCTTTTCAGCGGCCAGCTACAACAGAATGCACATTTTTAAAAGGGCGCACTATTTCAAGCTTGCGTGGATAATGCTTGATGACTACACCCTAGCAAGCCTATGCGTATTGACACCGCTTGCCAAAATATATCGTTCAACTTGTGTGTGCGTGTGTGTGCGTGTGTGTGTGTGTGTGTGTGTACGCATCCAAGGAGCAAACTCCAGTTACCTGTGCCAGTCCTTGCAGAAGTTAGGATGACCCGTCATGTTGCTGATGAACGATCGAATGAAACATGCGTGTAGGAGGGAGGGTGGCAGGAAATAAAGCAACCTCTGATCATACAGCTTTGGCAAAATGTTGTGCAGCTAGATGGGCACTGTAGCCCTATATATAGGTAGCCCTAGTAGGTGCACCACGCGCGCGTGTACGTGGAGCAGCGGCAGCACCGACAGGAGGGAAGTTTTGATCATTACAGTTAACTGGGTGCGGGACGTAATTGGCCTTGGCAAGATGTTGGCAAAAATCTTATTACCTGCCAGCCTAAACAAGCTTTACTTCAATTCACTGGACGACGCTGGCATTGCACCTGCTGTACTGCCGTACACATCTGGTTACGTAACCAAATGTAGTATCCCGGAGGGCAGATCACGGGATCTGCATCCGCCAATCAATCGGTACTTTTCTGGAAAAGTCATGATATAACACCGAAAGATACACAATAATCGCAAGGCTGGTCCACCCGGGCATGCACACGATGACATGTGTGTACCATGACCCGCGGAGTGTGTGGCCCCTGTTGGTTCCCAGCTCCATAACCCATATCGCAATAAATCGCACACGTACATTGTCCTCAGCTTAGTCATCATGAGCCAAGTGCTGGGAATGGGGCCTGAAATGGCACCTTGACCCATATCGTCGCTTAGATCCCTGCAGGACATTAAATGGCATACTGGGAGCCGGAAGATGACTGGAAGATGAAGGAATGGGCTGCCTGGATCGGGACAGGTGGAAGTCCACTGTGGGGTGTTTGGGGGTTTTATTCTGCTAGCTGATAGTTCGATTGATGCAAACATGACGGTATTTGCACGACAGCATGCATAACGCATTTCATAGCCGCCGCCGTAAATATTAACCACACTTTATACTTAATACGTGCCGGATAGGGGATCAATCCTGAACAACAAAAACCCTAAAAAACCCAAAACCTCTAAAATCCAACCCTGAATTTGCAGACCGCGGTACAGAGCGCGCGGGTCAACGCAGGCGCCTGTTTCCGCTATACATATAATGCATGGGTGCATGTAGGCAGCACTACCGGTGATGGATCCGGTTGGATTAACCGTAGAATCATTCATCTTTCATTACGATGTTTCTCTTGGAGCAACATTTTTCTGGCCTTACTAAATAAATTTGCTTAACCTAACATGTAATCAAGACAGAAATATATGGCCAATACCAACCCTGTGTACGTACAAATGCTCCAAGTTCCTCAGCAATGCCCATTCCGATGGCAGGTAGCCACCGACCAAAGCTTGTCCCCTCCACTCCGGGCTACGGTGGATATGGTCATTTGTGCGCTTAACCGTGAAACGCTTCAACGTGTCCGGAAGGAAGGGTCGGGCGGCCACAGGGTCATCTTGTAAAGGGGGTAGCCAGCCCCGCGGATAGGACTGGTTGCCGAAACGAGTGGGGTCCAAATATTTTCTAAAGGAAAATCTGCCCGTATTTATACCGTCAAATTGGATTCTATTACCCCACTCTTGAAGAGCTTTAATGGTCCACCTGATGGAGTGAACAGCAGGGTTGAGTAAGAGTTGGATTTTTTTACCAAGATATCTTTACAAAGATATCTTTGTGTTCGTTGGCAAATGACGAGCCACATGTGTGTATGCAGGTACCCGTTTGATAATAATGCAGGCAAGTTCGCTACTAGGCAGGCAGCAGGGGTTTACTATTTAGAGCAGCCACAACGGCACGGCAGGCTGACAGGGTGGGAGCAACACTCAGCTAGAGAACAAGGCATGCAGGGAAGGCCACCGGCGGCGGCGACAGTAGTGGTCGCAGGCGGGGCAGGCAAGGCCTGTTTTCATGGGTATTAGGAAAAGACAGAGCTGCTGGCCAGTCAATTGTGTGCAGGGCCAGCCGGCCGGCGGCAGGGAGGGTGGGCAGCAGGGCCGGTCCTACTGGCCTGTAGGACACACGGGCCGGAGGCAACGAATTTGTGCGACCAAGGAATATGATATTGTGCGACCGGACGCAAATCCATTCTCTTTTCCCTTACAGGGCCGAAAACCCTATGTATTCTTCCTTTTTAGGAGTCTGATCCTTTTAGAAACGCTGCTGGGTCTAGGAACAATAAAAATGTGGGATGTTGATGCTTTGCGAAATGGCCATTCGCTCACCTCATAGCATTTAATTCGGTAACAGGAGAAAATCTACAGCGGGCCATGGCTTCTCCTCGAAGTGCGATTGATGGATTTAAGCTTGTAAACCCATCTCTGAGCATCGCTCGGCCCACACCACAGGGATCTGTCGAGGAAGTGTTGATTCGGCGCGGGAGGTTTGTGAGTTTCGTAGGGCATGATAATTAGCTAAATCAGCTAAATCAGCTAAATCAGCTAAATCAGCTAAAGCAGGAGATAGGCGGCCTTAACGAGCAGGGGAGGGTGGTCATGTGTAGTGGATGGGAGAAGATTTCATCAACAGCAGAAATGTCGCTCTTATAAATTCTATGTCATCAGTGGGCCCCGGGGCTGTAGGCCTTCAGGGCTACAACCCTGGACCGCCGGACCATCCAGGTATCAATTGTGTACGCAAAGCCGAAGTGAAGATTTCGGCAGCGCAGTTGCTAAAAAAACAGTATGAGAAGCTCTATTTGTCCTGACAGTTTTGTCGATCGGAAGGAGGGGTGGAAGTTACTATCGAGTAATTCTGTAATAAGCTACCCCCGCATGCATATGCTACTTACCAAGCATCAGTCCAAAATAATTTGCCACATTGTTTCTTCCCGAGTCATCAGAAGGATCTTGGTTGCTCATGTAAGGCGATTGACCATCGCAATTCCATGTCGTGTAGTTCCAACTGTATGTATGCAAGCAAGGCGAAAAAGGAAATGTATGGCTCAAGTGTTTCAATGAGTCTAGGGACTGAAGCCTACATTCTAGAACATTGGTGAAATTGACAAATATTTAATCAATTTGAAATCTTAATTTTAACTCCCCAAGCACCCATGCCTTACAGGTCAAATGTTGTACCGTTGGGACCTCGTCGATCTGGCTGCACAGTAAAGATTGGATGCGAGCTGGTGAGGATGACGTCTTCAAAGTAGCTGTGGAAATCGAAAACGAAAAATGTCAGTGAGCTTTACCAGAACCAAATGACGGTGGTGGTTCAAATGACGGTGATGGTGATGGCGATGATGATGGTGATTGTAGTAGCTGATACACGGTACCGCACACGTATCAACTACAAATACGCGCGAAGTGCTTCACCAGCATTTGGAGAGGCCTTTTCAGCGGCCACTACAGTGATGGTGATGATGATGGTGATGATGATGGTGTGATGATGATGGTGATGGTGATGGTGTGATGATGATGGTGATGATGATGGTGATGATGATGGTGATGATGATGGTGATGATGATGGTGATGATGATGGTGATGATGGTGATGATGGTGATGATGATGGTGATGATGATGGTGTGATGATGATGGTGATGATGATGGTGTGATGATGATGGTGATGATGATGGTGTGATGATGATGGTGATGATGATGGTGATGATGGTGATGATGATGGTGATGATGGTGATGATGGTGATGATGATGATGATTGTGATGATGGTGATGATGATGATGATGATGATGGTGATGATGGTGATGATGGTGATGATGGTGATGATGGTGATGATGGTAAAGATGGTGATGATGATGGTGTGATGATGATGGTGATGATGATGGTGATGATGGTGATGATGATGGTGATGATGGTGATGATGATGATGATGGTGATGATTGTGATGATGGTAAAGATGGTGATGATGGTGATGATGGTGATGATGGTGATGATGGTGATGATGGTGATGATGGTGATGATGGTAAAGATGGTGATGGTGGAGACAGGAAAACTCACATTTCTTCCAGCGGCAAACAACCAATGTCGTCTATTAGGGAGAATCTGGGAGGCCAGGTGATTCGGACTAAGGGATGGTGCCAGGCAGCAGTGTGACGGATGGAACTTGAAAAAAGGAGAGGAACAGGCAGGGGGGAGCAGACAACATGTCGGTGGACAGTTAACGTCAACGTTTAAGCTATTCCCAAGCTAAAAAATGCAATGAAACCACTTCAGTGCTTATTTGTTAAAGAACACCTACGCCATCAATTTAGTCGCTATCCTGTCCAAGGCTGCTTGCATGGAGGTTGGTTATGTGGTTGTAAGTTGTGCGGGTGTAGTATCCTGGGTATCACGGGATCTGTCATCCGCCGATTGGTTCTTTTCTGCAAAAAGACGTGATACAACAGCGAGGAGGCCTTATTACGCTCGTTCCTAAGGCCGATGGCCCCTAACAAGGATGGCACCTATGGCCCCCACGTGCACCGCCGTAAACACCAATCTCCCGAGGTTAACGATTGAAAAAAAAGGGCATCGGGACTGTGCGCGATGCTCCACCGGACAGGTGAGGGAGTGATGCATATTGGACAACAATCTGCACGTGTTATTACCCCGGGTAGTACGGGCCGTACTACTGGATAGTTTCCAAATACTACACAATGTTATCACAGGATCCTTTGAGGGTTTTGTAAGAAGGGTTCAGCTCCCTTGGCATCTCCCTTAGTACTCTTTGCCTTGTCTTACAGGTTTAGGTTTCGTCAACAAATACGCAGCGCATCATTGTTAATTGGCACGTCCCTACTAACAGTCACGCCTTTTACCCACATCCGAGTGACAACGTTGCGTACGACAACCCTTCGCTGTATCTCCTTGCCGTACAGAATCCGACTGGCTGTATCGTTGCGGTAGCTCGTTCCGCTCAAGTAGAATATTGATGTGTTGACCCGCTTGCAGGCAATGGTAAGATATGGGTCATCTGCACCCAGGGGGGGTGAAACGCCTCGTGCAGCATACACGTTGAAATCACACACGCTGGGCCGCGGGCCTGGTCCCCTGCAGGCATAATAAAATAAATGTTGTCAATCGCCAGAAAATTCATTTAAAAAAAGTCACAGGATTTGCAATCACAAAGTCACAGGACTAATTCTAAGTCGGTACGCAAAGGACTCAAAAAAGCCATTACAAAAACTGGGTACAGATGTATGCATGTCATGGGGTTGGGTAGCGTGTAAAAATTCATGGTATGTGTCGTGGCGTCGGGTAGAGCCCCACTTCAATAGCGGACAACACTGTCTGTTTGCACGCGTGTATGTATGCATGTATGTAAACCCACCAGGGTTGGCACCACTCTGGTCGATCTACCCCCCTTATGAGAGAGCTGCCCCACTGGTCGTGATGGCTTAGGTCGCAGCAAGACATCTCTGGGAGCGTGTAATTGTAATTACCTGCGCAAGTCATCAAGCATAGAAACAACGGCATTTAATCCTCGGTGTCAATTTCTTGTGTTAAAGCTCACACGTAAACGCAGTTCGCCGAAACCTGCCCTCAATGCCTTGTTACTTTCCCCTAACAAGTGTTTGTATTTATACAACATGATAAAAAGTGAAGGAGAGGGGTCAGGACCGTCACGGTCCTGGGTCGGTCCTGGGACGGTCCCAGGAGGACCGTCTCTCATCTGCCGTACATGCAGTGCGGTGTGCGGCATATACACCTGTAGGACCTTTGCCAAATCGCTGTGGAATTGTTGTACTCCTTTTCCAAATAATTACAATTTACATTACTCAAGATGTTAGCTCTAGCCAGGTCACCTGCTGCTTGCTCTCAACTCAACGGTGGACACAGATGCATTGGGTTCGCTTTCTGCTGTCTAGGTGACTACTTGCGTTGTCTGGTCTGGGTGGGTGCCTTGTTTGCCATAATCGCCTCAGGTGCAGTGCACGGCCAGCTGGCCAGTTGGCTGTACTCCTCGTGAATCTGTAGCCCACTGTAACAACTAACACACATGTGCGTGGCTATCTTTCAAATAGCAGAAATATTGGAGGGGAATTTTTCGAGATTTCATTCATTTCCCCAAAGATTTCCATGTCCGTGTTTAATAAACCAGCCAGCTATATCTAAGGCCGTAGAAGAGGGTAGAAATCGCGGCGTCGGCCAGGTTAGAGTCCCTATCCGAGTATGATTTCCAGATGTTGCTAGATGTTTAGGAAATTTAATCCACCGCGTTCTGCTTCCATCCATCATAGCTTAAATGTTAAATTATTATCATTTCAGTTAGCAAATGGATTTCGATAGGCGCAGAAATACATGTATGATAAACGTTCCTGTCCTCCCTTTCTATCCTGGCCGCTATCCACCGCTATCCACCACTCGACGCTTTAGTGCCCGCGGGCTACTACAGGGCCTCCGTTAGCATACATCTATATCGAATGCACGACCGCCTATATATAAAATGCGTGGTATGGCTGATGATGCTGTAAGATAGCAAGCAAGCAGTTGATGAATTAATGCTCATCGTCTGTAGGCGCCAGCGAATTCAGGCATGCATGAACATAAGTGTTTGTTAAAGGCGCGCCATGCGCCTTGTAGACGCGCATGGTTTGCGCCTGGGCAGATAGATGTATTTTCGGGACTTCGATGCTATGTATGAGATGAACAACAATTTGAACGAATGACCCAAAAAGCCGTACGCACCTTGACGTGTGCAAATTTCTTGACGTATGCAGTCAGGTGCACAATCATCAGGGGAGCCAAAGTACTGAGTTTCACAGCGGTCGATGCAGCGCAAGGGGGCTAATCCGAAGCCTATACGGGTAGCCACCTCTGGGCTGCTCAAAAACAAACGATCGCCGAGAGCTAAAAACAAAAGGAGAGCCTTGTCTGTGGGCCAAGGAAAGGTTCAATTATGTCGAATATCGCACCGTAACGATAGAGTACAGCAGGAGAGCAGGTTCTGGTAAGCCTTACGCTGCTCGTTTAGGTCTTCTGATGAATTCCAGGGACCATATGTTGCTGGTGATGAGAGCTGTTGAGCCTGCTGCTGCTGAGAGCTCCGCAGCAGAAGCGCTCCCAGGCAACAATACAACAGAAGACGTGGGAGCTGGAGAACTGTGTGCTGGTTCTGCTTGGTGTGGCAACCATACCGGCGGACGGGGATGGCGAGATGCTGTTCGGGACTTCCCACAAGTGGCATGAATGCTGCATCCGCTAAAGTCGACCACGCACGCACAGGCATGCATGCATACACACGCCCTTCTCGGTTTAGATCTCGCACGTGGATTGAACCCAAGAGCGTCTTGGGGCATAGATCTCAGCCATTAGCGCTTTTAGCGGTAATACGCACGTGCCCTGTTTGGCCGCGGAAACAATCGTAAGGCCATACATACGCAACATGATTTTCGTATTCGCTGGCAGCGGCCACACTCGTGCGCTCGGCTTTCCCAAAGAACAGTATGCCGTGACATCAATGAGCTAGGGTATGTAGTACAGCGGAACTGCTAATCTTGCTTTGAAGCAAGATTCCATGCTCTTGCAGTGATTGATGAATCCTGCCTCAACATGGCAACTGTTTTTGAATTGTGGCTCTATAAATTCAGCATTGTAACTTAAGCATCAATTTTGTAATCTAGGATGAAGTTTGGATATTGATACTATGGGCAATTAAGTATATTCTGAAAGCTAAAAGGCTTTTCTTGCAATCACAGCAATGCGTACGTGCGATTAGTACGATGTCAGCGGGATGGCACGCCTAATACATTTTGCTGACTATTTTATACACATGGATATATTGAGCTGTAGCTGCATACGCCGGCTGTCAACCTTCCATCGTTGCTTAATACTTCTACTGCTATCTGTCGCTTCGCGGGCACCTGGCCACGAACGCATTCGAGCAGCGCTATAACGTCTTTCTCATATTACCTAAACCCTTTCGACCAGATAAATCAATTACGGTCGCAGTTAAATGTGGTAAAGTTTTAATGCGTGCAGCAATGCTAAGGTGCATGCATATACGTGGATTTCCCTTAGTTGTTTGGCACACAAGTAACATTAGTCCTAACGTTTAAGGTAATTCAAGTATCAGCGCCGCAAAGTCATGGACAAGAAAGGAAAACGGCAACGAACTGCGTTTGGTTAGTTTATACAACAGACTACTCGGAAGCATGCGTGCATTGCAACGACAATTCTTCATGTGAGATTTTTACTGGGAATGGATCAAATAATTCGCTTTCCTTCATTTACCAGCAAGGCGCCGCCGCCAGTCGTACCAGCAAGGTCACCACCGCCCCCAGCCACCACCGCCCCCTCTGCGGCCCCCAGGAGCGGATGACCCTGCGGCTTGCCCTGTCGCTGGTCCTGCAGATTGCCCTGCTGCTAGCTCTGCTGCTGGCCTGCCGCGATCGACTCTGTAAATGGCGCTGCGCTTGGCCCTCTCCCAATGGCCATGCCGCGAACGGTGCCGCGAACGGTGCCGCCCATGGTGTCGCAACCGGTGCTGTGAAAGGCGCTGCTCCTGCCAAAGCCTCTGCAAATGGCTCCGCTGCAAGTCGAAATGGCCATCCGCATCCGTCTCCACCTGGGTCGCCCATGGCTGTGTGGTCCAAGTCCCAAGCAGCTGTTGCCGTGGACGTACCTCAGGTTTGCGTCGCTGACGCTAACCGCTTGCATCGGCATAGGCCCTAGTATTGTGCATTGTGGTAAATTTTCCCTAAAAACATTATACGACCGTAAATATACTATAGCTCAGCAAATTGCTAGGGAAATGGTCTCATCTGGACGCAGTATGCATGCCGCGCTGCCGGCTGTCGTAAGGAATCTCTGCCCCCGCGCCCCGCGAGCACCAGGATTCACTACAACGAAATGTCTTTTGTTTCGCGCATGAAAATGTTGGTATGCGTGGGTACGTACGCGAGGCAAGCTGTGTCGGACGCTCGTCCGGCCGGCGGAGCGTCCGCCAGGGGCGGTAAATGAGCCATATATCGGGTATGCGTGTGCCAATCGTCTGTAAATATTTGGTCATCTATAGATCGTGCTCTGGTATATTGGATAGCTAGCGGCCCGTCCATTTTATATACCAGGATGCGGTCTATACACGATTTTACAGGAGACCACCCGCCCTGCACGCTCTGATGCGTTGCGCATCTATAGGCAAGAGTGCCCCTGTCGACAGTTGGATGGCTAACCCTACTAGCATATATACAGCATACAGAGAATGTGTGGGGCGGGTGTGGTTTGCACGCAGCCTACCTGCACGCTGACGAGCGCGTACTGTCAACCTAGCTTGTTATTAAAGCTATTAGCCCTCGAAGCACCTGAAGCACCTGAGGTGGTGCCTGTTGTATCCCTGGGTGTATCGCGGGATTCTGACATCCGCCGATCGGTAGTTATCTGAAGTCGTGATACAACAGGGCGCCGCCCACGGCACCCGGATTACCTACGGAGTGCACGCAACGGAGGGGAATTCATCACCCCTCATAATTCCAGCCAACGAATGAAATGAGCTTTTTTATTGTGGCATGGCAACGTATCAATGTCTAAAGCGATTGCAGCTAGTATTAGCTAACTAGTCACCGCTGCAGCTCCACTGCTCATCGTCATGGACAGCCGCCAAATGGACCCTTGCAGGCTGTCCAGACAAGCGAAAGGCGCAAATAAAGGCGGCAATCAAACACATTATTTATCAGTCATTATTCATTCATTAACTTAACATGCGTTAATAATAGTAAGCAGCAGCAGGCCCCAGGAGCAGCAGCAGCAGCCTGCATACGCTATACATACATTTTGGACATATACCCCAGCAAGTACGTAGCTGGCAGTAGCAGTAGTAGTATCCGGCACAGCGCACTCAGTACATCAAGACATATTTCGTGCGTAGCCTGCCGCACGACTACTTAGCAACCCGCGCACCTGCATGCACCCCCGGCCGTCCCCTGCTCAGCCAGGCCAGCAACTGACCTGACTTCAACCGTAGCTAATACGCCACCTCCCTATGACAAAGCTACATTAGGTAGCTCTGAAAGTGGCTACCTCCCTCAAACGCACTAAGGTCTAAGCAATCAATCCACCACTTGGAGCAAATACCTACCCATCCAAGCTCTTCGGAGAGCATGACAAACAATCAAAAAACTGACGGAAATAATTAACTCCAAGACCTGTGCATAAGACAAAACTAATGATGGCATGCATCAATTAACCTTTCCCTGCCTAATAGCCCCAAATGCTGTGAAGGCAAACGTAAGCATATAAAACGGCAGGCCCAAGTCATCCCCCTAGCTACATCATCCTGGCTGCAGCATCATCGCTTCCAGCGGCCCGGCGGGTCGCCCAGGATCTTCCTCCACTATAACGCCTACATCTCTGTGGCATGCTGCTGCTGCGCCGTCCTAGCTGTATCCACCCATCGGCAGGACCCCGCGGCTCTGACACCAGGCTCCCATCCCATCCCCCATCCGGCCCCACGAACTGCACCTCGGGCCGCATCCACCTACCTCTCTTTGCCAAACCCAGCAGGTGTGGCTGCCTCTATGAGCTAAGGACACTCTAATTCCTGCCCGACACGTCTTCCAGTACCATGCACCCATGCCACCCGAGCATGATGCGCCCGCAGCAGTAAAAAGCCACATCCAGCTAATCACCACAAATCTAGCTCCGCATGACCGCTAACTAACTGGTCAACACCTGCCGCCCTTGCGGCAGGATGCATGATGTGTGGGACAGGGGGCCATATCTTCACCCGTGGAAGCTACCCGGCAAGACCTTGCCTTCCCCGGTATTTCGGGACACCCTCATCCAGTCACCCTAGCCAACTTCTCGCACCCACCACCGGCATCCGACGGAATCTGCCGGATCAACGGCGGCTCAACTTCATTCCTGGTCAGCTTGCAGGTCTACTTTATCCCAGGTCACCACCGTCCATCGTCTAGGGGCACTCTTACCTTCCACCATCGGAACGATTTCGACCCTAACAGATCTCAATCCCCGGAACCTCCGGGGAGATCGGTGTGTGCGGTACCAGTAGTGTCTGACCATACATGTATGCAGGATGTATGTATGTATGGAAGTATGGATGTATGGTGCCAGATGCAATGGCCGATACAGCGCGTAGATAGAACTGACAGAAGCGACATGCACCTGCTTTCCCGTGCACATCCCAGCCCTGCCAGTAACACTTTTTCCGAGTTTGCTACTCAGCCCTCAGCTAACCCTTATTATTCCGTTTCATCTAAGACACGCTATGCAGCAGGTCCGCGAAGAAGGGGAGTCGTCCCCTAAGGGGAAACTTTGTCACATAACATCCAAAACATATGCCAGTAAGACAACTACATGCACCATGTTACTAGTTGCTTTACTTTGAATTTTCGGTTGCGCCTGGTGCTGCTCTTGTGCAGGTCTTGATTGCTACTGCTACTGCTACTGCTACTGCTACTGCTACTGCTGCTGCAGCTGCTGCTGCTGTTGTTGTTGTTGTAATACCAGCTGCAGCTGCCCGAAGGCCTGCTGCGCCCGCTGCGGTAGGCTATCCATTAATCGCCGAACCTCCATTCGCAGCGACGGTGACAGCTGTAATTTCCGCACAAGATCTTCCAATTCCGCTTGCAGCGCCTGCTGCATCTCCTCTAGCTGTTGGGGCTGCAACTCCGCTGCAGTGCTGCTGCTACGACTTGTGGTCAGGCTGGGAATCCGTTGAAGTTGTAGCCAGCTATGCACGCAGTGCAGAGCAGCGCCAAGCTCCGCTGTCAACCAATCGGGCTGGTCATCCAGCTCCACGAGCCAGCGGATTGCTGATGGAGGGCAACTCGTGTGCACGCATCGAGAGATAAGGCCCTCAGGGAGTGTTCCGGGCAGCCTCCCCCTGATCCAGCGCAGGGTAGCTAGGTCCCCGTTGCGGGCAGCGATGTAGTACATGGTGCCCAAGTCCTGTAAGCAAGTGGCACGAGGGAAGGCACGGCCGTGCGAGCCGGCGAGAGTGGGAGGTCATGACATTTACGGATTGTAAAATTATTCTGACAACTACATAAATACACATCACATGCCAGGCAGCCAATATATTATGCATTTCGTGCCGATACACCCCCGCACATAAACAGCAGGATGGGCGTATGTGGCGGTCACTCCATATATTTATTGTGGAGTCCATGCCAGGTGAAACACACAGTGGCAAACAGACTGACTAGCCGGCAACACGCTCATCTAGGCAGGCTGCCGTCCCCCACGCATCGTGTGACAGTCTGCAAAGCTTTGCTGGGGCACCTACCCGCCACAAACTTCAGTCCGTCAAACCCCCACACAGGTCGCGAGAGACCGACCCCCACTGCTCACCCCCTTCATCAGAAGCCCGTGTTCCTCCATCCACTGGAGTGCCTCCCTGCAGCCGCTCTTCACGGCCCCCTCCATGCACTTCCCAGACGACAGCTGGCTCCGGGCCCAGATCCAAGCCATAAGCGCAACGTTGCCGGACTCTGCCGCCGCGGAAAGCGCCTCAGGGTCACCACTCGCGTCGTACTGCAGCTCCTGAACAGCCCAAGCAACCACTGCCTGGTGGCCACTGCGGCAGGCATACAGCGCCAAGCTCCGTGACGCCTCACTGTCCAGCTGGCATAGCGCATGAAGGGCCTTCAGGAAGTCCAGCTGACCCGCCTCAGCAGCTGCCTCAGCGGCATCCCTCGTGAAGTTGTAGAGAACGAACTCCTGCAGCAAGTACTGCACCAAGGGAAAGTTCCCAGCACGGCCCGCCTTCCGGAAGGTCTCAGAGTTGAACAATCCCATTGGATAGCCTCGCTCTTGTAGCCAGCGCAATCTGTCCCGGCCGTCAGGGAGGCTAGCAGCAGCTGCAGCCACCTCAGGGCTGCGAGGATACCGCTTGGCCTCCAGCCACTCCACCTTGGCCCGCCAATCAGGGCTGGGGCTGCTGGCAGCTGCAACGAGGACAGCGGACTGCTTTGGTCCGTATAGCTGATGACGTGTCGCGCGCAGCAGCCCTGTAAATCCCCCTAGCCATACATCATGCAGCTTCTGAAAGGCGTTCAGGTCACAGCCCTCCGCTGCCGCCGCCATGAGCTTACCGATGTGCACTTTGCCATTCCGGGAGGGCCGTGTAAGCGACAGCCATTCCATGAGGCCCCAATGCCCGCCTCGAGCTGGCGCATACAGGGCATCGTCATCGCAGGTGCAGCCCATAAGCATCAGGTACTCGAATACTTCCTGGTGGCCCCCCAGACCAGCTGCGGCCAGAGCCTTGCCCCAGGGGCATCCCCGCGCGCGAAGCCACTTGCAGGATTGCAAGCTGCCGGCCGCCGCAGCAGCCTCCATCATCTCCTCTACTGGGGCACAGTCGGCGGCGTTGAGAGCCACTTGTAGGTTCTCGAGAACTCCGCTAGCTGAGGTCAAGCAGACCAGCTGAATCCGCTGCGTTATGCTCATTTTTTGCGTTGCCTCTGGTTTTTCCCAGTACTGCTCGAAAACAGCGATGGAGCAAGCCTCGGACAGATGAATGGTAGTGTAGTCCTGGCCCCTGAAGAGCTCACGAGAGTGCTTGTCAACGAGTCGTAGACTACAAGCGATGAAATTCCGAGGTAGGTAGCTCGCGATGTGCATTAATAGCAGTGAACTCGACCATACGGCCGATGATGCACATAAGCTGCCGATATCCATGGACATCAAGAGTGCCGCCGGGTAGTGCGGTGACTAATCGCACCTAGCTATGTGGTTACATTGGCAATCTTCCAGATGCGCTTTGTGAGTAGTGTTTCGTTGCTGCAACCATACCGGTACATCCGGTCAGCTCATATGCATAAATGAATAACGGAAAGCATCTAGCTTAAGAAAATGTTTAGTAAAACACATTTGTGCAAGTACAGACTGGTAAGATGGCGAGTGACTAGCATCAGGGTACGGAAGCCCGTCAAATTTTCGTAATGTCGTTCAGATCACGAAAGGCGGAATGGGCTGTAAGCTGCATTATAATGTAACTACAATCTAAGCAGCTACTAGAATCTACATACTAGAATCTACACCTCTGATTTGAAATCCAGGCTGTGGGGCAGGGTATGTCACATGCCCGTTATCCAGCAGGATTCATCCGCCTGCCGGGACGCACGGTTGTGGTTTAGGGCTTAACCAATCAAGCCAATTCTTTTTGCTGCGTGCTGTGTCTGTATCATTTCTGTGCGGATCGAGGCTATGGGTCCCGTCCAGCAGTTTCTATGGCGACTCGTGGCGACTTATTCAATACGCCTGAACCAGAAAATGCAGCTTTCATCTTAAATATCGTAAATGTTTTAGGCTTCGTATCCTTACATTTGAAGAGCACTCAAGGCCCCGCGCGATGAAGAACCGTTGCGATGTATGAAAGCGAAGCCGGGCCAAAGACTTCTAATCGGAACTCTAGCCGGAATAACAAACCGCTCGTCGGTGCCCCGTAGCACTGCTTTGTAAAGCTTAATTTAACACATCGCTCGCTCGGAAATATACATAGAGGCGGCATCACGCCCTCGAGCGCTCCATAACGTTTCAGCCATTACCCGGACAGCATGCGTACCACCGACAAAGCACCCGCACGTCGACGCAACAAACCGGTATATGTAGTTTGACTAACTCGATGCGGAAAGCGAGCGAGCGTTGCACACGCAAAAGGATAGGCAGGGCACGCAAGAGCGAGGAATTCCAGGTCGTTGTGTCCTCTTGTTTCCCCTGTTTCCTTCACTATCGTTGCCATCCCAACACACTGCAAAGACGTGATGCGTTGGAGAATGTGATCCGTTACGATGGGAAGACGCGACGCGTTACGACACGCTGCGGAAAGCAGGAGTATACGTAAGGAAGGGCTTACGACAATCTAAGCTGCCAGCAGCCCAGCACAAACGTGCAGAAAGACGTGCACCGCGTGCGGTCGTGGGGAACTTACTCAGTTCGAAGCTTAGGAAGAGGAGCACAAATGCATCAACCTGGATAGCAACTGGGCAATACAGTAGGGCCGGCGACAAAGCACACCAAGTCCCGCCCTGTTGCAGGTTTGGTATTTTCTTGCATTAGCAACATATAAGAAGTTTAAGTTTAAGTTTTTCCAACCGTACGGTGGCCGCTGCCAGCTTTAGCCGACGTGCGCTATATAAGGGTGATGCCGCATTTGATCTTTCAGAGCTTGTGCTGGGATGCGCTTAGGGTTGGTCATGTAGCTCATGTTTATCAATCCGCCCGAAAAAACGATTCGTGGCGTGCCAGTAAGAACATTTTACAACTTGTCGTTCATACGTTCGTTCGGTCCGATACCGGCCAGCCGAGGTCCTATCGCCGGTCCAACTTTGACTGTCGGCAGGCCCCCCTTACTGCAGATGCAATCGTGCATGCTGCCATGTGCTGCTGTGCGGCTCCGGAGCGCGGCCGTCCAGAATCTGTCCAGCCAAGTAAATCAGCCATCAGCCAGCGTACCAAGGATCGGGGGAGCAAATTCCCAGCCATGCCTTCTTACCCGCTGGGAACAGTAGGAACCGAAGTGACCGAGCTGTAATCCATCAACCTCAGCCATGTAAAGAGGACAGAAAGTGGGTTACTGCTGTTTGCGTTACTGTTTGCTTCCGCAAGCCACATACAACCTCAAGGCAGGCTTTAACCGGCGAAAACAATTGCATGCAAACAATGACCTAACATGTGGCTCTTTAGGCTCTTGGGCCGTATGGGCTCGCATGGCCTCGTTCCACTCTCCGGGTAACAAACCACACACACACACACATACATACACAGGTATAACGCACACACGCACAAGTACAAGCATTTAGCAGTGAAACCTTTAAATAAACTTACAGCAACGACATTATTTCAGTCAACCAGCACATTCCGCTATGGGACCGCATGCATTGTACGGGCCACTGTACGGGACCCTACAGCGATTGTAGTACTCGTAACCGTACCACAAATTACCACCGCAGCGACATGCCGTCGGCAGCCGCCCCCATTCCCCTATGTCATGTCCCCCAGCCCGCGGCCCCCTCAAATTCTAGCGCCTGCATGCCTGCTGCTGCTTGCCCAAGGTCGATCCGATCCCCCGCTTGGGCCGAATCTTTGGGGGCACGAGAAGGGGCAGGTACCGAAGTCTCTACCCTAAGTACGGCTGCGCTAAGCTTACAGTGCGGCGGTAGTAGGATAGACGGCCACAGAAGGCATGTCGTACACCTGCCGTACAACTAGGATACGGTACCAATAGGCACGTCAGCTCAGCGCATGCGGATGACACGTCCGCCACCACTCCGTCACTGCTTCCTCTTAACTTCCTAAACACGGCTGATTACCTAGCTACGACCAATTAACTCCCTCTTGCCCCGCCCTAAAGTCCGCATTTGAATTCGTTTCGGTTTTTGTTCCTCCTGAGATCTAACTCCATCTACTTCCATTTATTTTGAAGGCGCCTCCATCTTGGCGATCATAGCTCATTCATCACTCCCTCTCCCTATGCGTGTTCTCCCCCCTCACCACCGGCATCCTCCGCGCTGGGGCAGCCCTAGGCAAAGCCGCGCACGTCTCCTGACAATCTCCCCGGCAATTGACTACCTCTACACGAAACACATCCATCCCGCATCCATCCGCACAGCTCACACACACACACACACATTCACACGTCCGCTGCCAGCATGTTGGTCCCCAGGGTGACCTTTTCACCGGGCTGGAAGGCGGGCAGGCCTCGGTACGGGCAGGAAGCGCAGCGGAACGCGTCGCCCAGGTAGCACTGCGCAGCCACCGTAGTCGCCGAGTCCGCCGTCCGAGAGGGCGCCGTCGCAGCGGTCGCCATTGTCATCGACGCGGCCACAGACGCGCCATCGCAGCCGTAACCCCGGTCACAGCGTCAGCACCACAGTTACAGCGCCAGCCGTCCCAATCGCCCAAACGGTCACCGCCGTAGGTCGGCCACAGCGGGGACGCAACATAGGCGGGGATGAGGAGCGGAAGACGGCAGTAGGTAGCAGAGGGGGGGGGAAAGACTAACCACGTGAACGAGTGAAGGTGCTGCCAGGGCAAGAGTGTACACCAGACGTAGAACTGACCAAAAGGCGTTCTTAAGCAGGGGGGGATAGGATGAGCGCCGTGTCTCTTATCCTCAAGATTAAACAGAGCCATGTACAAACATGGTGCGTGAGAGCGCACTGCTGCGTGTGCTTTTCATCAGGCAATATTGCACATTGCGAGAAGGGAAAAGGAATGAGGGTAGGATTGCCTGGTGGAAAGGAATGTCCTTGTCCCCCACACTCAAGTGTAGGCTGAGCACCCAATCAGCCCACCCAATCAATCCAGTCCTGGACATATCACAGTGGTCAGAGCCACAGCCTGTCACGCCAGCTTCACCCCCCCCTTGTTCCCCCCCCACCCCGGCTCTTACTTACATTACCACACGCTGACTGCGGGTTGTCCAACATGTCTGCTGTCAGCTTGACGCCTCCGCCCCCACCTGCAGCCTCCGCTTCCGCCCGGCCGCAGCTGCAGTTCTTGCAGGCCTTGCGACCCGACTGACCCACTTCACAGTCGTCTGTTGTTATCATAGCCCCGGCCAGAAACCCGGCAAGCATGCCCAGTTGTTTGGATGGTTGTCGGTGTGTGTTTGTATGTGTGTGTGACCAACCAGCAGGGGGATTTTGGGCCGTTATTCGTTAGTCAGGTCAGCGATCAAAGAGAGGGCAGAGGTGTTTTCCACGGGAAGCAAGAACAAGGAGCACAAGTCAATTAGGGTCCCATGGCCCCATGGCCAACACAACACAACAGAGCGCACAATTCCATTCCCACCCGCCCAGGTCCATGCTAAACTAACGAGGTAACCACTGCTAGGCCGCTGCTGTAAAAAAATGGCCGTCGTGATGGCGCCAGTGCACAGGAGGGAATGGGGGATGGATGGCAGGTTATAGGTGCGTGGCGATGCGAGATGAACCCCAGCATCCCCTTCGGTCGCACGTCCCTGTTGCGTGCCATCGCCACGTCCCTCACGCGGCCATTGCCGTACTCCGTACTCTTCCGTATCTTATCCCTCATCCTCCCAATCCATAATGGCCATTCACCCCATCTAGCCAACATTCAGAAACTACCCCACCGGTAACCGCTCCCATAGCTTCTCCTTCAACGCCTGTTGACACCCAAGCTACATTGCCTCTTGATTTCCCCGTCATTTCTCACCTGGTTTCGGAGCTGATGCCGCCTTCCTGTCCTCTACCGTCAACAGCTCATCCTCATCCACTAACTCATCCATGCCATCCTCCTCATCTCCGCCCAGCTTCCATACGCTGGATGGCGGGACAGTGGCGGCTGGAGCTGCCGATGCCACTGCTACTGCCGCCGCCGCTGCCGCCGCCGCTGGCCTCTTAAGCGACAATTTCGCAGACGCCCCTAAGCCCCAAGAAGGCAGCTGGGAAAAAACCTGCATTTGCAGAGGGGACCGCCGTACAGGTACGGCCTAAAACAATGATGGTGTTTCGGGGTAGTAGCCCAGTAACCAGCAAGGCGCAGAGCACGCTATGGCATTCCATGACACCATATATACACGTATATATGGTATATATGTGTTCTGATCCAAATCCTCCTCATCACAAGCGAATGCTATCAAACATTGTACTCCATCACAGCAGGTCAAACCACGTTCACAGCAAACCCCAATCGAGGACAACATATATTTCCTGGGTGGATATCTGGGCAGCCGTGCGTTGGGGATGTGAATACGTGTTCATGAGTTTGGAGTCAAGGTATCAAAGCGCCAGGAACATCTATAATGGACGCGTGCCTTTCTCATCTGGAAGGGAATTATACGGGACTCTCGTTGCCCCCAAATTCCCTGCCGCGACGTCGAGGGGGTGAGACGTTCTTACGGCCTAAGGCAGCCAAGGGCCGGAACCTAGCGCCCCTATCAGAACCGAGACTCTGTGACTTACCCAGACAGCGGGCACATTGGCCGCGCTGGAGCTCAGCCCGGTGGCATCCAGCACCTGGGTGTCCGTGAAGCCCGACAGCAGTAAATCATGCTTTAAAGCTTCCAATCTCCCGGTGTCGATAGCTCCTGGAGCATTTGAGCCCGGATGAGTAGCCTCATAAACATAGAGGCGGCCGCCCGGCGCCATCTCCCGCGCGACACGCACGAGTACATCTCGGCTGTGTGGCGAACTGCTCGCTGCCAGAACTACGTTATATTTCGAGCCACTTTGTTGGATTTGCCCTGCTGGCTGCTGTTCGCAGCAGACAAGATTGATGGATGAGAGCGATAGTGTTTCTTTTTCGAGCAGCGCCTGCAACGCAGCTCCTGGCGCGACACCGTTCGATATGAAGCAAGCTGCAGACGTCATTCGTTCCTAACGAGCAAGTTTACGCTAGGACGACTTGTGAAGTGCAATCTTTCGAAAACACTTTTTCGCCTGTTCACCGCGCTAGCTGTGAATATGGTTTACTGTAAACCACTTTCCCCTTGCCCCGTATGAGCATTGCCGCCCGAAAGGTGCACTGACGTGGGCCAGGCTTTGCACCGTCGTACAGGCGAGCACCTTGTCCGGGACAATATGTGCCTAGCCCTAAAACCCTGGGAAAAGGAGCATTTGCAATACACCGGCCGAAGGTAGTTATATCCAGCGAGACCCTCCCACAGTTCCCGGGGCTGTATGAGTTCCAAAGATTTCTTCCTGTACGTGTGTCATCCCTCAGGAGACCTCGATACGCACATCATCTTATCATCTAAAATTCCTATTTCGCTGATGGGACGGTGTTTATCTCCCTTTTAAAGAAACAACTGGGTGGAATGCTGGCTGGGATTGATGGCTATGGACAGCCCTTAATGTGCCAGGAATGCCTCAAAGGGCGCAATATGTGCTCCCTAAGACATTCAAAGACGTTTGAAGACAGCACAAGTAAACTACCTAAGATCAAACAGAGTTTCCGGCACGATGGTGATCATCGGTGTCTCTGAACACCTCGGCAACATCAGCACTACGAGCTCCAACGAGCACAACAAGCTCCAACACATCCCCTCGCACAGCATGTAGCGGTTTAGGAATACCAACAGCGCCTGCAGTTGTTGTTCACCATCAGTGCCATTAAAGGGTGGCTGAGTAATATTTTGCGTTTACGTTCACGTCAAGGAACAGTGTTTCTATTAGTTTCACAATGGATTTTGATATTAGAAGTTAAGAGCCAAGGACAGTAACGTTGCTGATAGGTTCTTAACATGTCTAATTTCAGCGTTCTGAATTAATGCCTAAAAAGTTTCCCAAGAATGCCCTCAAGGCCCCCAAGCCAAACTTTGGGACGGTACGAGTGCCGTATACATTGGGCCCCCGATCACAGACGAGGCGCAAGCTTTTATCGGCACCCTCGAGCCCAGTAGAAGTGTGCCCGAGTTCGCTGCTTCTTCCACCGTGTCCACATTTTACTCGCGAAAATGCAGGCCATCTCTGCTCGTGCTCCCCGCGTGGCGGCCAAGCCTGGTGCGTTTCAGGCTGCCTTAGGAACTCTGCAGCCGATAACTTCATCTTTCCGGCTCTTCGCTAACTTCCTTAATCTTCAATCTTCAATGACAAATATGCAGTGTGCCGCTCGGGCGCCCGCGCTCCTCTGCGCGGTGAGTGCGACCCTGTACTTATAATTCGACTTACAGTGCTCAGGGTTGTTAGAGATCTGACATTTTGCTGATGTCTAATCTTCTGTGTATCGATTTCGCAGTGGTCTGCAAGGCCTCCGCTGCTCGCGAGCAAATCGTCAAGAAGATTGCTCTGCTGAGCACTCTGCCCGCGACTCTGGCCGCCAGCCCTGCCTGGGCTTTGGTAAGTACTCCTTATAGTAGCACTGGAATATGAGGGTTCTTGTGAGTTGGTGGATATCTCGCTGACACGTCATGTCTTGTCCATCGCAGGTTGACGACCGCATGAACGGTGATGGCACTGGCCTGCCTTTCGGTGTGAACGAGCCGGTATGTTGGTGCTCACATGGTCTTGTTTTGGCATGCTACGCCAGTTTCTGACTACTTGCATGACTTCCTGTTCGGCCAGGTTCTGGGCTGGGTCCTGACTGGCGTTTTCGGTGTCATGTGGGCTTTGTGGTTCAACGGCCAGCGTGGTAAGTGGGTTACGATGTTTGCGACTGGTCCGGTGTGTGTTTGGCCGGAACAAGGCCAATGCGCAGTTGCACGGAAGTAGGATGTATCGAAGCTGGATCTCTCGGGCCTTTGTACTGGTTAGCTAGAAGTGTGATAGTGGCTTAATCCCGAACCATTAAATTTCACTCGATATCCCCATCGTCTATGTCTCGCAGACCTGGGTGACTTCGAGGACAACGACAGCGGCCTGAAGCTGTAAGCGCCTTCGCTTGTATGGCTCGGCAGCATTCCTTGGAGCTTTAATGGCTATATCTGTAGGCATTGATGCTTGGGATTGTGCACGGGTGTGGTGCAGCGGTGGCAGCGACGGTGTGTACCCTAGGCTGGGTCGGGCTGATCCGTGCGCGGAGATGCCGTAGGTGGTTGAGAAGAGAAGTTATTAGTCCATACACGGCATTTGCCTACTGCCGCTTGATATCAGTTCGGCAGCGGCATGCTTTGTCCGTCGGTAACGGTTTTTGCCGACGTGTAATGACATGACGTCTGAGCTGATTTGTGTCAGCATTCAGGAATTGAAATGTAAGCAGCTGCGTTTTGCTCCTTCTGGACTCGTACCTATCCGCACTCTACAGCTGTTAGCACTTAGCTATTCCAGTGATCCTAATAGCAAGTAACTGTTCCTTTATGCCTGACTAGCAATGGTCATTCCCTTAATCCTAGATAATCGGGAAAGGTGACAGCCTGAGGAATTGTAAGGCAATCTACCTCACGTTTCTTCTTAAGAAGGTATATATCTTCTGCAGTGTATTCTGGTCTCGCATAGGTGCACCGCAGCTACACCACCCTTGTCAAATGTCTCTAATCCCCGACAACAGCTGTTCATTCCATTCCGGAAAATGAACAGAAGTGCAGTGGGAACAGGTGTAAACAAAATCGATCGTTTAGTAGCCGCTGTATGAGATATCGGTTAACTGTCGGAATGTCATGAATCATTCATGATGAATGAGTAGCAGCGTAGTTTTACAACTCTCTCTTGCCTTGGAATTTGTTCCGCCTGATAGGGAAATGGAATGATCGTAAGTACATTCAATGTTATTTAGTGTGACAGACAAACCATCAGTAACGAGCAATTGTAGTCCTCGCTCACCAGGAACCCTACAACACAGTCTGCAATCTTTGAAGCAGCATGTTGGGTAGATGATGCAAGATTTGGCTATAGTTCACAACCGCCTGCTACACTTCGCTGAGGCAAACGCAGCCGGTGATCTGGAAGGGGCAACGGAAGGTTCGGCGCTTCTTGTAGAACTCGCTAAAAAGTGCGAAATTGAAGGCAAGAGATAGCAAGGAACCTGCGCGCTCAGCTTTCGGAACACATCGACGTGTTTCACTACGAGTTCCATCCATACTGTAATGTTATCTCACCTTTTAACCCTTAACCCTTATCTTTTTGCCTGCTGCAGATGGGGACGCACCCGAACGACTGCTGCGCTTTCTGCTGGACGTGTCCTCGCCGCCATGGCCGAAAGCGGAACACATCCGGGTGGGTCCTTGCCTTCTGTCACCTCCGACGGGCCCACCTGTCCTCTTACGCGAAAATGTCGCTCTCAGCTGAAGTACCTCCCACCCAAAATGCGACGCAACTTGTTGTAGGCTCTACTGGGAGGCTGTGTGCTTGACGTGGTGCCGCCGCTGCTGCGACTGGGGTCCGCCTCAGCCACGGCGGCCGCTACTGCAGGGGCTCTAACGGAGTGTTTGGCAGCTGGGCTGCCCGGACTGCCTGGGCCGGGACCAGCGTGTCAGGTGAAGGTTTTAGGATTTTTTGGTGTTTCTGATGGCACTTAAGGGTTTAGGGCTTCAGCGCCCGTGCGGGGCAGGGCAGTGGGGATGGCTTGCGCTTTGCTAGGGCAATGATGGGTTCGATTGACGCAGAGCAAGAAGCAAAGGGCGCGTGTTTGGCATGACATGACGTGACCAGCGCACGACACAGAGTAACCGTTCCCATCCCCCTGAATATGCTGTACCCAGCCATGCCCGGCCCCTCACCCTCCTCATTATCTTTTTTGTGCAGGCGGTATGTAATCCCCGGGAGCTGCTTATGGCTTTGTTGGAGGTGTACGACCAGCTAAAAGAGTGAGATGGTGTCGTACGGTCTAGTGCTACATTCCAAGGCATGGGATGCCTGCACGCGTTGCCCGTCTTCAGCTCTCGCTTCAGAGACTGACTTTCCGCCTCCAGGGCTTTTTCCCTTCCTCACCTTAGGGCCTTCTACTTCAGTTGACTTCCTAGTCAACCCAATTGTCCTGATTCCCGGGTCGCACACATCACACACACACACACACACACACACACACACGCGCAAACGCAAACGCAAACGCACGCTGGCAGCAACTTTCCTTTCGTCCTTGCTTCTGCTATTGACTGCAGGACTGCCTTTGACTCCCCCATGCACCTCCTGCTGCTCCGACTGCTGGGCCTTGTGCCTCGACTAGTGGCTGCCGTACAGCGCCGTCGGTTGCAGGTAGCGCTGTCGTGCCTGCCCGCCGTCGCGGATCTGGCGGCGGGGGCGGCGGCCAGGCTGGCGGCGTGCCGGCGCGTGGCCGAGGAGGCGGAGGCGGCGGCGGCGGCGGCGGCCGTAGCCCGTCGTGGTTTGGAACCTGGGCAACTTGACGAGCAACTGGAAACCACGGCGGCGGCTGAGGATATGTGGAGGCAGGCCAAGACTCAGCTCGTGGCACCGTTTGCGGTGTTTGCGGAGCAAATGCATGAGCTGGTGAGGATTGCGGCGGCGTCTTGAAGGGTTGTACTTGAAAACTTCTCCTACTTTTTCAACCTTAAAGAGTTAGCTGGTCGTGTAGCTATATATATAGCCCTACGCCCCACATGCCCCTGCCGACCTCCACTGCCGCTGAATATTTCCCGCAGGTCCTTGCAGCGGAGCTCCCACCCCTTCTTTTCAATACTACCACCACTACCACTACCATCACTTCTTCTACCAATGTCGGCGCCGCCGCCGCAGTGTCAACTGCCGTACCTCATGGTACGGAGCCACTGAGTCTTGAGCGCCGTCGCGTGGGGGCCTGGTTGTTGGCGCTGTGTGGGGCCCTATGGTCGGCTTGGGGTCCGCTGGTGCCGCTGCCGCCGCCGCCGCCGCCGCCTAGTTTGGATGGCAGCACCGCTGCCGGCGCCAGCAGCGGCAGCATGACAATGTGGTCGCATGAGGCGTGCAGCGGTACGGCGGCGCCACTTTTGAAGCTCGTGCTGGGATCGTACGTTGCCTTGGGAGCCCCCGCGCATCACGTGTCACCATCACCGTCTCACCAGCAGCAGCAGCAGCAGCAGCAGCAGGGCCAGCAGGAGTTGCCGCAGCCGCAGCTGCAACAGCCGCCGCAGCAGCGGCAGGGACAGGGTCAGGAAGCGCAGGGCGGCGCGGCATTCGGCGGCGCCGGTGGCAGCGGGGGCGGCTCTGCATCAGACTGGATGGGGCTGTGGGCCTTGGCGGCGGGTTCGGGGGATGAATGGCCCGATTTAGAGGTATCTGCCGTGTGCGTGTCATAAAGCCGAGCCGCGGAAAGGTTAACTGACAGCTTCTTTTACGCTTTGAATACCTTCAATATTAAATATTAGTAAAATATTTATAATGAATCACAGTAATTAATATATACAATGATAAAACATGATAAATGTAACGATAATAGGTGAAAAAGCGAGGATTTTATGCTCCTTCCACTTGTAATATTGAAGGGGCCGTGAATACGGGATTTGCGCTTTCCACCTCTCCTTCAGTAGAATATCCCGCAGATAGAACCCTCATCCTATCTCACGTAAGTTGTTATATTACACCCGCCTTGCTGGACAAGCTACGGCTACGACCCCTCCTCGAAACCCCCTCCCTCCCTCCCTCCCTCCCCCCCTTTGCAGATAGCCTCCGACCCCGAGCTCCCTCGCCTGGGTGCTGCGTCCCTCTTATGGCTAGCTACTGCCCCCCTCGCTGCTACAGCCGCCACTGCTACTGCACGCTACGGCGCGCGCCCTCTGGCTAGCAGAGCCGCAGACGATGGAAGCAGGCAGGGGGCCCGGGGGCCACCGGGCATCCGGTGGCCGCCCTGCCTTGAGCCATCCACACGTAACCCTCGAGGCTCGCTTAAGGTACCAGGGTGTTGCTGGGCACTACTACGTAGGGTTGGATAGCTATAGGGGGCATTGAAAGGAAGGCAGTTGCTGGTGGTTGGTGGTTGGTGATGCTACGGTTGCGGTTACAATCGCTCTTGAAACTCCTCCCAACCAACTCCTTCTCCCTCTCCCTCTCGCCCATCCCCTCCTCGCATATCTTTCCCTGCCAGGTGCTTCTGGAGGCCTGTCAGGTGCTACTGCTGTACGCCGGCCGGGAAGACAGCACCACTTTGCTGGATCGAGCACTACAGCTGCTGGCGGCGGGCAGCGCCGTGGTTGGGCGCATCGTGTCCAGCAGCGTTGCTAGTGCAGCTCCTGCTGCTGCCGCTGCCGCTACTGCTACTGCTGAGGGCGTTGAGGCTACTGCTGCTATCGTCCCTGCCGGTAGTGATAATGATGCGGATGCAGGTGCTGCTACAGCGGGGGATGTTGGTGGCTCTGAGATGGAGTCCAGGTCAGCGATGGCCGCAAAGTCCACACAGAACGCGGCCAGAGACTTGGCAGCACAAGCAGCACCAGCACAAGCACCAGCACAAGCACCAGCAACGCAAGCAGCACCAGCCCTGCCGCCGGAGCCGGGGGCGCCGGCGGCGTCGACGGCGCCAACTATCGATCAGTGGGTCGGCGTCTACAGTCGACTCGCGGGCCGTCAGGCGTCCGACCCGCTCCGCGCTTCTGAACTGTACGACATGCTGGGCGTGTACGAGCCTCATCTGGACGAGAGTGACACTGCGCTGGAGCCGCTGGCTCAGAGCCTGGCGACCGTGGCGGCGGTCAACATGGTTCACGGGGTGGTTGGGTCGGAGAGCGAGGCTCGTCGGACTCTGGCCCACGCTGCTTTGCAGGTGAGTTATGCCTTGCTGGCCCGCCATAGCTGTGCAAGTGGCTTGCTTCATGGCCATAACTAATCCATCCCTGCGAAGTCCGCACGCCTCTGTGGCTCATTACAGCATTACGGACCCTTTCCTGTCCAATTCCCCTGCCCCCGGGGGCCGTTTGCGCTTTCGTTGACGCCCGGTTCTAGGCTTAATGTCTGAGCTCGTGTCTATTTCTTGTAATTATGTTCATGTTCGCTTTCGGACATATGACGAGGTATGAGCGTCTTTGTAGCGTTTCAAATTCCCCGGTTTATGACCTGCGGGTCGTATGCTGCAGTCGCTGCTCGGCGCTCTTTCACCGCCGCTTCGGGCGCGGTGTCTGGAGAGCCTGGCGGCGGGGCCCTCCCCGGAGGTGTCAGCATTGGCGCTACAGCGGCTACAACGAGAGGTCGCTACTGCCGCCGCTGCCGCCGGCGAGGGCGTTGCGGCTGTTGGACGCAGCGATGGCGGCTATGGCGGGAGTGGAGCTGTCTTCTCCACGCCATGGGTCCTGCGGCCGGTGCTGCAGCAGCTACTGCCGCTACTTTCGGACGTCGCTGGCGCTGACGCAGCCGGTGCCGCTGCGGATGGTGCTGCAGCCGATGCCCTAACGCACCGCGCCGATGTGGCTACAGCTGCCGTCAGCGTGGTGCGTTTCCTGGCGCTCCGCAGCCAAAGTGCCACTGCGGCCGCGGCCGCCTCAACAGGCGTTGTCAATACGCCGCATGACAACGAAGCCCACCTCCGCGGCGCCGCCGCCAACGGCGGAGTGTACGGCCTGCGGAATGGTCCGCGTCGTCACGATGAGAGCGCCGCCACCGTTGCGTCGGCCGCCTCTGGCGTTGCCGCGCGCGCGGCCGTGCTGGGCGCGGTGTACGAAACCTGTGTACGACCCTTGCATGGCGCCATATCGGCGGCGTTCCGGGAGCTGCGTCGGCGGGTGCAGCTGGAGGAGGAGACCTCCGCGCCGTCCTCTCCACCACCGCATCAAGTTCCAGCGGCGATGCCGGCAACGGCGGCGGATCGGTTCGCTGCTAATGTGGCGGTTGTGAGCGACGCTGTGGCGGGCCTCACTGCCATCAGCAGGCTGCAAGAGGTTGCGGATTATGTGGCGGAGTTGTTAGGGCACCCGGCGCTGCAGGAGGGGTTCATTAGGGGTTAGTCCGGCAGTAATATAGCTAATAGGGCCATCAGCCGTGCGGCGTTTAATGTCCATCATTGGCAGGGAGGCTGCGGGGATGGTGCGCTTCCATCCAAACCCTTAGAAGCGCCTGCATTATCACCATCATCATCAGCAGCAGCTGCATCTACCCGCAGTAGAGGGCCGCACGATCCAGTTATGCTCTCTTGTTTTGCACTGGAAATCTGCTAACAAAGTTAATGTCTGGTAGAAATCCTCTCGGCTAATTTCTCGGCACAGCTTGCGTCGGACACGCGAAATTTCCATGAGGAACTCCTGTTTTTATTGCGTGGTTCGGTTACCGACAGTTACTGTGATTGGCTCCGGAACCGGAACCACACCGTTCCATGACGCCCGGAGTCGACTTGCCAGTCTCTAACACCTGTAGCCTGCAAGTCAAAACCTTGGTTGGGAAGAGGGTTGTTACGACACATATCCTATTTCTTCCAGCAGCCAGGTCCGACATCAATTGTACACAGGCATTCCCACTTCTGTAACAACCACATACACACTTCCGTGTGCAGTAGCGGTATAGCCATTGGACAATAACCCCAGTAATGCTGATGAAGTAGCCGGTTGTCCCATCAAATCGCCATCAAACGCCCACAAAACATGACAAGTGGAAGGCGGCAGTAGCAGGACCGTCGTAGACAATGCCGCGAAGACGCTTCTCATTGGTCGCGAAACGAAGTCGCGGAAGAACATCCAGATCCATCGGGAATACCTGCCCCCGGCACTGTAAAATGTGACACAGCGGGGCTCCGGCCTCCAATCCTGCTGGATCGTGTGCATCAGGCACGGTCTCGCCCCAGACTATGCTAACCCAGCTCAGAAGCCCAGCCCCGGCTCAGGCGCGGGGTCGTCCGTCGGGGTGCAAGCAGTCCGCTGTCCTCGTTGCAGCTGCCAGCAGCCCCAGCCCTGATTGGCGGGCCAAGGTGGAGTGGCTGGAGGCCAAGCGGTATCCTCGCAACCCTGAGGTGGCTGCAGCTGCTGCTAGCCTCCCTGACGGCCGGGACAGATTGCGCTGGCTACAAGAGCGAGGCTATCCAATGGGATTGTTCAACTCTGAGACCTTCCGGAAGGCGGGCCGTGCTGGGAACTTTCCCTTGGTGCAGTACTTGCTGCAGGAGTTCGTTCTCTACAACTTCACGAGGGACGCTGCTGAGGCAGCTGCTGAGGCAGGTCAGCTGGACTTCCTGAAGGCCCTTCATGCGCTATGCCAGCTGGACAGTGAGGCGTCACGGAGCTTGGCGCTGCATGCCTGCCGCAGTGGCCACCAGGCAGTGGTTGCTTGGGCCGTTCAGGAGCTGCAGTACGACGTGAGCGGCGACCCTGAGGCGCTTTCCGCGGCGGCAGAGTCCGGCAACGTTGCGCTTATGGCTTGGATCTGGGCCCGGAGCCAGCTGTCGTCTGGGAAGTGCATGGAGGGGGCCGTGAAGAGCGGCTGCAGGGAGGCACTCCAGTGGATGGAGGAACACGGGCTTCTGATGAAGGGGGTGAGCAGTGGGGGTCGGTCTCTCGCGACCTGTGTGGGGGTTTGACTGACTGAAGTTTGTGGCGGGGAGGTGCCCCAGCAAAGCTTTGCAGACTGGCACACGATGCGTGGGGGACGGCAGCCTGCCTAGATGAGCGTGCTGCCGGCTAGTCAGTCTGTTTGCCACTGTATGTTTCACCTGGCATGGACTCCACAGTAAATGGAGTGACCGCCACATATGCTCATCCTGCTGTTTATGTGCGGGAGTGTATCGGCACGAAATGGTATGTATCGGCACGAACATATTGGCTGCCTGGCATGTGATGTGTGTTTATGTAGCTGTCAGAATAACTTCACAAATCCGTAAATGTCATGACCTCCCACTCCCGCCGGCTCGCACGGCCGTGCCTTCCCTCGTGCCGCTTGCTTACAGGACTTGGGCACCATGTACTACATCGCTGCCCGCAACGAGATAAGGATTGAGTTTGCTGTTTTTTTAGCCTGCGCAGTTTATTGGTGAATGTGAAAGACGGAGGCGGGCTGCAAGTATTTGTTTCAGCGTCGGCCAAAAGGCCTGGACGACATTGCATAGAGAGCATCAGAGTGAAGGGGCCAAACAGAAGGTCCACTCCTCATCACACCGTCGATCTGGCTGACCTCAGAACAGATCGCTGCGTTCCGCAGTTTGATTCCACCTGGAGGATTGCGAGCCGCAGAAGCCAGGTCAGGAATGTAACCCCGTCCCCGGCTACAACCCCCCGTTCTGTAACAAGGAGAGCGTCAAGCGTGAAGGCCTTCGGCCCATGCCAAATTGCGCTTCACATCCTTACCACCCACACTATTGCACGGTGCACGTCCCAAGGAGCATCCCTCTGATCGCCTATTTCGGGAGGAGGGAAGCCGCATAAGACCACTTTTTGATCTCCCCCCCATACATGGTGGACACGTGTGGGTCGGCTCCACTACCGCCTAGGGTCCATCTTTGCCTCTCTGCAGGGCGTGAAGCAGGGGTGTCCCATGAGTCCCAATTTGTTCGGGTTCTTCATTGAGGTTATTGCCGACTACCTTGAAGCGAGGGATGGTATGGACGAATGGTTCAACACACGTGCACACGAATGTCCTGTCATTAATGATCGTCGGTTGCCTCTGTTGTTCTATGCAGACGACCTTACTTTGTTCGCGACCTCGTTGGCACGCCTCCAGTTCTCGCTTAAGCTGCTTATTGAGTTCTGTGCTGCTTTTGGTATGCGCTGCAACGTTCGGAAATGTGAGGCCCTTGTTGTGGCTGCTTCCGTTGATGTCGTTAAGAGGGCGTTTGAGGGGGTGAGGCTCATGCTTCCTCTCCGTACTGATGGGTCGCTTTGGCACCCACCCATGGTTGGTAGTTTACTTGTTCCTAGTCCTATTAACTGGTGTGGTCGCGTTAGGTACTTGGGTCTCTATTGGGGCCCTGCGTCCCCGTTTGCGAGTTGTGTCAACGAACTTTTGGAAGCAGGGCGACGGGCTATGTTCGGTCTTAGTAATCGGTTGGATGAGAACAGGGTGTGGGCTCCTGCCGTTCGGCTTCAAGCGTTCG